TTTACTATAATAATAAAAAATAAACATTAAATAAAATGCATTAGTATACAGAGTAGTTGAGGCTCCTGAATTGTCACTGTATGTGCTGTAATGTCTGATGGTTGATCCTTATCCTGTGAAGTGCAAACCAATGCAATTTTCTCTGACCCATTTGCCAATGGCAGATTGTGTCAGTTTCCTTTTACTGGTCATCTTGCTTTTAGGATACAGTTCAGATCTTTGGTTTTCTCATTTGTTTGATGCATCTAATGTGTTTGCAATGAATAGGTTGTTGGCTTCACAAAAATCTATCAGACGCCCACATGCTTCATTGTTTTTGCCTAATCCAAATCTGCCTACCATTTTTGATTCTTCTTTACTTCCAACCTTTGTGTTCCAATCTCCAATGATCAGCTCGACATCCTATGTTGGTGTGTTGTCAATTTCTTCCTGTACTCCTTCATAAAATCTATTAATTTCTTCTTGTTCTGCCTCAGTGGTTGGTGCATATACTTGAATTATGGTGATATTCATAGGTTTCCCATGGAGCCTTATTGAGATGATTCGGTCTGATTTTGCATTGTATCCTCTGACAGCTTTTGCAACATCTTTTCTTAGTATGAAAGCCATTCCATTTCTTCTTGTCTTTTCATTCTGAGTAGAACACTATGTGGTTGTCTGATTCAAAGTGGCCTATTCCTGTCCATTTTAACTCACTCACCCCCAGTACTGCTATGTTCATGCACTGCATTTCCATTTTCACTATGTCTAGCTTCCCTTGGCTCATGCTTCTCACATTCCATGTCCCTATTTTATGTGTGGTGCTGCTTCTGATGGGGTTTGTCTTTCTGAGAGTGTTTCCTGCTTGCTTCATCACTTTTGACTGCCCTTAGCCTTTTTACTTCCCCATCATATCCAGAATTTTAATCTAAATGGAAATACCCGCTAGATCCTGAGGACTCTCTGAAACTTCTTCTAGAGCTGTAAAACTGTTAACTAAAGGCTAGTAAATTGCTAGGATGATATGGACTATACTTGAGGGAAACCTTACTTAATCTAGGTAATCCCTTTCAATGACACAGAGTTGTGGCCAGTCTAGGTCAAGATAGAGAAATGGCTCCTAGATATGAAGGTCCAGTGATTTGGGATCTTCTAAGGAGGTCTCACATTGAGAACCATTAGTTCAGAGAACCATAGCTTCATGGGCCAGTAAAGCTAAAGAACAATGAACAGCTATCTGGCTCAGCTTTCTTGAGATCAGTGAAAGCCACATAAGATGATAGCTTTTGTTTTTATTTTACAGCCCAAACATACTGACCATTCTTGTTTCTTAGCAACTGACAGCCTCCAGAAACAAACATAAATGGAAATTTCACCCCTCTAGTTTGCATTTTCTTAGCCAATCTGACAGGATTTTCTGTGTCCCTTCTTTGTATTAACCCCATCAGTGACAACTTTTTGTCTTCCATCCAGCAGAACAGGACGTTTGCTAGTTCCTGTTGCTCATGAAGCATGTCCCCCTCGCCAACTGATCTAGGTCTCCATTGTTATGTTGTCTATATGCTTATAGGAGCCTAATACAGGACCGAGAACACTGCTTTTTAAATGTAAACATTTATTGTTGTAAGCCACCAAAATACCATTATTGTTAATATTAGCTGAGCAGCAAAGCCATCTTAACTATGTTATGCATTGTTATTCCTCCTGAGTCCTAGGCCAGGACTATCGGCATGGTGGGGCTGCTTTGTAAATAGATGGCACCCCTTCCTGCACCAACTGTGACCATTCATGCTGTGCTGCACCTGTAGCTAATGGTTATAGCTTTTCAGGAGGCAGCACAGCACACCACCCTCCTCTCTACAACCAAATTCAAATTTCCCCAAGTCCATCTAGATTCAGGCTCCAGAGACCTACCTGCAGCTTCCATCTCTCTGGATCACATGTGTTCCCAACTCATCTTGGGACCACGCCAAGCTTCTCCTGACCCTGACCCTGACCCTGACCCTGACCCAGATCCAGACCCAGACCCAGACCAACTTCATGTGATGTGATTATAGGAACAGCTACTGCTACTGCATACCCACTCAGTCTAGCAGCAGCAGTCTCTCTTGCTCTTGGTTAGGGTAGTTGGGCTTGAGTGGTACCATACTGCCCAGACTCTAGGCAGGGCTGTATGTACCCTATACTGCCCTAAGCTCCTCTGCTTATGTAATCTCTTCCCCTATTCACTGCTTCTCTCTTTCTCATCTTGAGTGATTGGACTTGGGTAGCTCTGCACTGGCCTGACTCTGTGGCTCATTGCTTGTTTCCTCAAGCTTGTCAGTCTCACCTCTGTTCTCTACTTGCTCAGCCACTGATGGCTGGATTGCTTGGTTTGGTCTGATGCTTTGCAGTTGCAGTATAATTGAATTTTTGCTGCTCTGCTCTGTCGTTCTCTGCATATTGCTTTCTCAAACCCACAGAGGCAGGCACAGTGAGAGAGAAACAGGATTCTATGCCAGGCTGATGAGACTTTTGTCTTCCAACCACCTTCCTCCCCTGATCAGGACATGGCCCAATGAAGAAAAGTGAATTCCTCATTTTCATTGTAAAGAAAAGAAACACTGACCTTGTTGCTTCCATCCCAACCTTGATAAGGAACTACATACAAGTGTTAATTCCAAATTCTACACTAACATAGAGTGCCAACAGGATGGCTCTCAAATTAAGCCAGTTGATTGGGTATGTTTACTGGTCTTGGACTATTTGCTCTTGACATTATGTTCCCTATCAAGTTAGGCTCTCACCTGTCATGATATGTACAGGCCATGCATGGTCTTGTAGGGCCACTCCTTTTTTTAGATGCTAAGGGTCTAGTCATCATCAGAAGGAGCTTATCATTTTTATGGAAAAGGTTTTTAAGCAACTATCTCTTTAGCTATAGGTGGTGCACTGTGGCACAAAGGTTAAATGCCTGCACTGCAGCCACTCATTCACAAACCATAAGGTTGTGAGTTCAATACTAGCCAGGGGCTCAAGGCTTGCATCCTTCCAAGGTCGCTAAAATGAGTATCCAGCTTGTTGGGGGCAACTAGCTTACACAATGTAAATCACTTAGGAAGTGCTTAAGTGCACTGATAAGCAATATAGAAATGTACTTGCTATTGCTATTGCTAGGTGCCTATCCCAGTAGGAACTACTGCTAGTATCTTGAGTAGAATCATGGCCATAGAATGGAATCAATCATTACAACCTCCAATCCTTGCAGATGATGAGGAAAATATGTTTCTTCTCTAATATTTCTGGATTCTAGAAATGAGTTTAGCTACTTTTTGCAAGAAGACAAAGATTATTCTCTACTGGGTATCCATACTGGGTGTTCAAGTGTGTTAGTCTCTATCTAGAAACACAAAAACTCTTGGCTTGGTTAACCACAAATCTAGGACTTGTCAGACACAAATGGTGACTGATACATCCACCTCAGCTATCTCCATGGAAAGCAACTTGATAAGAGGATCATTCAGGGTAACATGAACTCTCAATAACACTCCTAAAGGTAGCTGGAAATTCACCACCAATGCTGTCATTATCTTCTTAAATACCACAAAAATACCACTATGCAAGCCCCTTCTAACACAAGGGGCTTGAACAGAACTACTTTGATCTAAAATTGTGGCTGGTTGTCCCTGAGGACATGATGGCTGGAATGGTGGGTACAGCCAGGAAAAAAAATGTTCATGGATTACTTAACAACCTAGAATCTGTCACTGCAAAATGAGAAAGAAATCCGCCTCAAGCCTGAAGGGAAGAGATTTCCAATACAGTGAGTATGAAGACATCTTTCTTGTCTACCATCCCCCAATCTAAAATCCTGAAATGACCTGTTATATTTGGTGGACATAGAGGAGAGGAAACAAGAATGAGAAAACAATGTTCATATGCTCCTAAACCTAAATTTGGAAGCCCTAGTACCGAGTGGGCAACTGTGCGAGGGTTGGGAGGCAATTTCCTCTTGATCCTTCCCAGCAGGCTGCACTTTCTCTTCTCAAGAGCATGCCAGAGTATCTTCTTTTTCCTTTGCTCTTTTCTCTCTGTTCCCACTGCTTCTAGTCACCATTTTGAAGTGGAAAGTGGGACAGAGGGGAAAAAGACATTGGGAGGTTCTAGGGAATATTTGTGTGTGTTCGGATACAATTTGGGGGTGATTTTATTCCTAAAATTATACAATTTTTTAAAAACAAAGCCACAAAATGGATTTGACATGTAGCAATAGTTGACGGGCCACACTTTCCCCACCTTGTCCCTAGCATAACCCTGCTCTTAGCAAAATAACTGGCTAGGTTCCTCCCCTTCCAGAAATACTAGTTTGAACATGCCTTCTAAGGAAGAAGGAATGAATCCATTCCTGCTTGTGTCATCCCCTCGCTTACTGAAAAAAGAAAGTTTTAACTAGTATAGGAAATATTATGTATGTTCAGGGAATATATTAATTAGAAAACAGGGCACAGTTTACTGAGTGCTACTTAATACAAGCAGGAAAGAAAGACATCCGATAAAATCACCCACAACTCATGCCTATCAAGATTTCATCACGTACAATTATTTGGACTTACATTTTGTCCTGACCAGCCCCTACTTTCAGTGTCAGCCTGGGAATCACAGGAGATGGTGCAGGAACAACAGGTTCCACTTTGATCTGCTAAAGGAAACACATTTCACTGTGAAAAATATGTTGCATACTTTTAAAAAGAACTATTTACTGACTGGATCTATATAGGACAGCATATAACGAGAAATGCTATGTATAAATTTACCATAGAACAGGTTCCAGGTGAAGTAATAGAAAGCCATTTGGGAAAGATTACAACATGCCACTTACTACCTGGTAGATAATGCACTGGCATTTGTTGTTGGTGTGTTCCTTCAAGTTATTTCCAACATATAGTGACCCTAAGGCAAGATTTGTATGGGGATGGATTGCCTTTGCCTTCCTCTGAGACAGAGTGTGTGACTTGCCCAAGGTCACCAAGTGGGTTTCTATAGCCAAGTAGGGATTTGAACCCTGATCTCCAGAGTCATATTCCAATGCTCAAACCACTAGACCATACTTGTTCTATGTACTAGCATGGTCCTTAAGTTCTTATTCCCATGAAGTATTTATACGTCAGGGCAAAGCTTAACTAAAGGAAAGTATGTAAAATATTTGTATGCTGCTCTTCAGTTCCACACACTCATGATTGTGTGTAACAAAACAAACATAATATGATTTCCCATTAGATTAAATGGTGCAACAATATAACAAAAATAGGAGAGAACAAATCAGAAAAAAATGATTACATTCCTGTTCTTTGGCTACAACTAGCTAGATGACACATTGGAAGGCCTGGGTAAACAGAATCTCTGCTTGTTGCTGAAATTTTGCACCAGCATTTCACCAAAGGGTATCACAACCAAAAAAACTCTGTCTGGACACCACCCACCTAACTACAGGATGAAGTTCTTTGACTACTAGTATGCCACTGTGCATGGGAACGTTCCTTACTCAGTAGTTACAAATTTGAAGAAAATAATATTAAAAATGGCCTTTCTGTCCTCTTATCAAGTGGTAGCCTTCACTTTCTCTGTTGTTTAGGACCTTCCATCTGAAATTTGCTTTTTCCTTAAGAATCCTAAGAAGGCACCTTCACTAACACTTTGCAAAACTATTCCCATATAATTAGTTGAGAGCCAGTTAATAAATCAGTAAGGAGCCTGAATTAAAAATAATTAATCACCTTGCTTTCTGTCTTTGGCTTTATGATGGAATGTGACCATTCACAAAGGAGGTTACATTTCTACAACATTGTTCACTGTCATTTAAGCAACATGCTAAAACATTATTTGGCAAATAAGCATGTTAAGAATCATCTTGCTGGATCAAAATAAGCCAGATGCACAAGTAGTACATAAAGACAATGGTTTTCCTGTCCTGTTTATCCCCAGAAGCTGTTATCCAGAGGTTCACTACATGAATTCCATTTGGCTACCCTGACTAGTAGTCATCCAGAGGTTGAAGATGTTTTTCGGACTATTAAATGTAGAACCTCCCAGCCAGTGGTCATCCTGAATGAGAGATTTTGGAACGTAGTCTCAAAAAGTAATTTTCACAGGTCTTTGCCAAGTTTTCTCAGATAGGAGCCATCACTTTTTGTATTAGTAAATATCATAAGCTAAACATTGGGTAAAAGCACTTCCTTTTCTTAACTTTGGAATCTGCTACTAATCAGTTTAATGGGACAATGGCTGAATTTCCAGTGAAGAAATAAAGCAGTTTGACACTGCTTTAACTTTCACGGACAATGCTATGGAATTCTGGGATTTGTAGTTCTGTGAAATATTTAACCTTTGTCAGAGCACGCTGGTGCCACAACAAACTACAAATCCCAAGATTCCATAGGATGGAACCATGGCAGTTAAAGCAGTGTCAAATTGCATTATTTCTGCAGTGTAGATTCAGCCAAAGTTATCATAAAATGAAATAGGGAGAAAAAAGAAGGCTGTCAAACATTTAGTTAACCTCTCAAATGCAGCATACCATCAGTTGCTCTATGATATTCTGCAGCCACACAAGGAACTGATTGTATGAACAGCAGGCAAAATAGCTTTTAAGAAATAATTTTAAAATTAAAAAACACAACTTTTAAAGCAGAAATTGCAATCCATCAGAAGAGAAGTTACTTGAATGGAAAACATGGTTTCTTTTTTTATTTTTCAATTACCAGTTTTCAAGGATCGAGATTCCCTCACAAACTGGCTTCCTTCTGGAATCAACTTTTCAGGTCACTTAATTTCTATACAACTGTCACAACCTGGAATCAATGATAAATTGGTAATTCTACATTTAAAGAACTGGAGACTAGGAGTTAGGGTTGAATATAAGTGTTAAGTGCATGTGAAAGACTGTGTGTGTATGTGTGTGTGTGTGTGTGTGTGTGAGTGAGTGAGTGAGTGAGTGAGAGAGAGAGACAGAGAGAAAGACTGGTCTTTAAAAATAAAATAACCAGGATGTTAAGGGGACATGAACAGGTCGTGGTTAAAAATAAAGAGCTGCAATTCTGAAGTAATACTGGGAATTCAGGCCAGCAGAAGAGCATTTACAGTGGATTACTAAGCTTCCCAAATCACCAAAGAGGTAAAGTCCAGCAATATAAGACTCCTTTGTAGCTAACTAAAAATACATTGTCAGTGGATTTGTCCAGTTTTATGTATAAGCAATACTTCTTTCACCTGAACTAATACTAGTAGTCATATAAGCCCCTTATTGCCATGTGCTGCATTTTTTTTCCTTTTTACTAATCTTCAAGGATTTAGCTTCTTTGCCACATACCTCAGGGCACCAACTGATAAAGCTCTAACTCTCCGTTTTTCCAGGACACCAGCAGAGCGGCCTTGCAAAAAATGAAAATCACTCAAGAGATTTAAAAGGGGGGAAATTTATTTTTAAAATCCTGACTTGCAGCAAAGAGGTAGACTTTTTCTGTCTATTTTTCCCCCAAAAAGGCTTATCTGTCGAGATCAGTTTAAATTTTAATTCTATCTAGGGACTCTTTCATGCAGTCTAGCTTTAAAGTTTATCTTTTGACAGGGACTTTTCACCAAGGTAACAGGAAGCTTTGTCAATGTAATCTGCCCAAGCTTATATTGCTTTTCCTATAATACAATATATTTTAGAGCTATAAAGAATAGACTTTTAATAGGTTATATCATAACATTATAATTCTAATGTTACATTGAATTACAAAATAACAATAATAACAATAACAATAACAACAATAATAATAATAATAAGCAGACAAGAACTAATTACAGAACTGGAAGGCAATTATTTCATTTTGTCTAGATACAGTTTAATCATTTGAGAATTGGTACCCATGTAACTGTTCTGGACACAACTTTGTTTTCTTCCAGTATCTGTTAAAAATGTTAACGCTTTAGATGAAAATTAGCAACAATTCCCCTATGCAAAGACTACTGCAATGTACAGTATAAATACTGATTCATGTGTGATTTCAATTCTATACCTGATTGGAGTATTGTACGGATGAAAGAGAGGTTCCTAACTATATTTTGAACAATTCTTTGTACTCAGGAGGAGAACTTGTGGTTTTCCAAATATTGTTAGATAACAGCTCCCATGATCCTCAATCACTAGCCATGATGGTTGAGACTCTTGAGAGCCTAGCAACATCTGAAGAGCATAAGACTCCCAAACCCTACTTTATATGATCAACATTGCACTATTCTACCTCTTGCTTAACATACAAATCTCCCTTATGCTGTCCAACTGCCATATCCATGGGATCAGTAACTCTGGTTTCACCTACCTGTGTCCATAAAAAAAGGTCCTTCTAAACATCTGGAGGTCTTTCAGCACAACTCTATGGTCAACTTCTACTGGAAGTTCTCACTATCCATGTTTCTTGTTATTTGCAGTAAGCATGGGACCATATCCACTATAGATATGGAGGTTGGACTGTACTGAATGAAACAATTGGTTCATCTTGCATTGAGCAGCAGTGAGTCTGGCCTGACCCTTCCCAGATCTCTTTTAAGCTGGAATTCCTTTCCTAACTGGAGACTGAACCTGGGCTCTTCTATAATATGCTCCAACTTAACTATCAGTCCTTCTCAATACATTCTCAGAGCTTGAGTTTCCTTAAAAGTTTACTATGATGTGTATTTAGGTCTGAAGGAGCAAATGGAGCAAGTATATTTATGAAACTGGCACATGACAGTGCAAAAGCTCTTCAATGGATTTCCTGAGATACAGTGCTTTACCAGTGAAAGTATGTGCTTAGCAGGAAAGACAGTTGGAATGAGCAGTGCCTGCATTTATTCACCTTATGCTTGCCTCCCTCTACCAACACCTCAGACCAGTTATTCTCCTGGTCAAGAGCAGATTGCAAACTCATTGGGGCAATGACATTTATATACAGAGCCATATTTCTAGAAGCTGCTAATGTAGAATGATGGTGTTTTCATCACCAACATCTAATGTTAAAAGCAGTGTTGGCATGGGAATACTGGAAGGTAGAGATACAAATGGAAACTGTCTCCAAAATATTATTTAGAAATCTACTAATTTTAAAACTTTTATAACTAACAGTCTTGCCTAACAATTGTGAAACTCTTCAAAGAGATTCTGTTTTTATGTTTAATATTTAATTGTCTCAGAATATGAGCAATAGGAGTGAACTTTTCTCCCTATCTACTATCCCTATCTACTTTTCTCCCTATCTTTCCCATCTACTCTGGAGGATTCCTAAACTTTCTAGTACAGTTTTTGAGAGCAAGTAAGGGAAAGAGGGAAGAAGCACACCCCTCCTGGTTCCCTAATAGAAGAAGCTCCTCCAGCAGGAAAACTGAACCAGATTTCACCCTATTTTTAGATGGTGATCTAGTGTAGTTCTGTTGTCAGAACAGAAAGCAGATTGATGAACCCTCATTCATATAAAAATGGGTTACCTTTTCATGTTTATGTTTCTCTTTCTCCTTCTCTTTTTTCTCTCTTTCCTTCTTTTCTTTCTCCTTCTCTTTTTTCTCCCTCTCTTTGTCTTTCTCCCTCTCTTTCTTCTTCTTCTTCTCCTTTTTGTCTTTCTTCTTTTCTTTGGGCTTCTCTTTCTCTTCAAAGAGTTTATCAGGTAGCACTGTTGAGAGAGGGGCCAACAAAGTTGGGAGTTTCATACCAGTCGGAGTACTGAATAAAGGCAAAGACAGGTCTTTGGGAGGCAAAACAATAGGTGCAGATGAAGTTTTCATCTTTTCTTTTTTGTCCTTCACTTTCTCTTTCTTCTCTTTATCTTTCTTGCCTTTTTCTTTATCCTTTTTCTTGTCTTTATGTTTCTCACGTTCTTTTTTGGTACTGCCATCTTTTACCTTCACTTTGGGGTCATCATCAAAGTCCTTCATTTTGAACTTGTAGGAATCCAAATCATCATCTCTGATCAGGTCCCTCCATGGAAATTTCATTTCTTTGCCTCCTTCCTTGTCTTTATCCTTGTCTTTGTTTTTCTCCTTGTCTTTGTTCTTGTCTTTATTCTTCTCTTTGTCCTTCTGCTTCTCTTTCTTTTTCA